TATTTTTATTTGCTGCTAAGAAAATGGCATCCGTTATGGCCAATGACTTTTATGGAACTAAATGAAAACGTGATAAATTAATGTCTGATATTTACAGGCTCCCGATAGAGGGCGTACTCGAGCGTTGCGATCGCGAATAGATTTTCTTACAAAATGACTGATAACTAAAAAACTAATCCAAATTTTTGAAAAAGAAAACAAATACTTCTTCATTATGTCAAAACACAATTATGTGCCGAGTTTCGTGCCTGGGCGAGGCTTCTGGGGCGATATATTGTGATCACAGACAAACACACAGCCGCGTTTATTATTATGTATATAGAATAGATGACTTCATTTTGTAGAAGAAGTTAGTTTTTTGATGGGAAAATGTCATTTCTAGTTTTATGAATTACTTTTTCAATTTACCGCATTGTTCAAATGGCCTTCAAATAAAAGTTTCGAATTGTGAATATGTAATTTTTAAAAAAAATTTTCGAGTTGTTGTGTAAATAAGTTAATTGAAAGTAACAAATTATCATAAAAATGTGTTAATATTTTCCTAGACAGTAGCAATTTGAAATTATTTAATTTCGGTAATGTTTAACAAAAAAAATAAATAAATTTGCATTTAAATTAATTTTTTTAAAATTGCGTTTACTCTTATTATTTCAGAAATGCTACAATAACCACAAAGCAGATTCCTTTATTATGTCCATTAGATACCCAGATAGCAGTGTAAGATTGTTTTAAATGTCAGCAACAATCTTCATCACAAAGCCCAACAAGGTTTATAAATGATTAGCAAATAAATCATGCAAGCTTGAAACAGTGTTAAATTTAACTATGCTAATTTACGCGCTATGAGATTTGTATTAAGCTTGCAGAAACAACTTTTTTATATCTTAATTGAATCTACCTTTAGAAAACAAGGTTAGAGAAACCTTCTGAATTCGAAGATGAATCATCGTTCTCAAATCAAGAGTAGAAAATGTTCTCAAACTGAGGATAAATTCAGCTTCTCATGGTTTATTTTAGATTTTATGACCATTGCTGAAACAAGGTTTATTTGCGCAGCCCTTTATATGCTTTATTTAACACTTTAAAGGTGTAAGTTGGCCTGATCATTAAGTTTTTAACACAAATAAAAATGTTGTATTTAAGAGCCCAGACAAAACTTGAATGAAAAAAAAACAAAAAAAAAAAAAACACGATAAACAGTAACTGTAAATAAAAGCAAAAAAAATGAGATTTTTTGTAAAGGTATTTGCATGCCTTTATTCAATCTTTAAGTAAAACAAGCTTTACATGCCAACATTTGCACTAATTTAATTAATTCCTTAAAAAAGAATTAATTGAAAAGTCAACTTTTTTATGCCAACCAAATAAAAATGAAAATACAACGTTTGCAGTAAAGTTGCATGCAATCTGAGATACGCTATTTTCAAATGTGACTTATTAAGAGTATAAACATTAAAATAATGTAATTAGTTTTAGGTTAATAGTTATATTTAGTTTTAATATTTTTTATTTAACAAGAGAGATTCTATAATTAAAAATATAAACGAAATTTATTGGTGTATCTTTCATCTATGTGCTGTTGTTGTAAAGCTAATGCTTAGTGGGATTAAATTAAAATGCATCTCTTATGTCTTTAGCAAGCTAAATAAGAAAGTTAATTCTGGGGTATAGCGTTCCCCCGTACAGATTTAGTAGGAAAAAATAATTAGATATTCAAAATATAATTAATTATATATTCCATGCAAAACCTACTGGACCACAACCCTAGACGAAACTCAATGCAAAACTTGAATACCTGGGACGAAAATTTTTTTTATCTTACACAATTCAGTAATAATTTAAAAATTCGTATTTTTGCTTTTAATTTTTTGTTTGTTTTTATTTCAATATCTTATTATTAACAATAACAGGAAAAGAATATTAATTATGCTAAAGTTTATTATATAGTATTGTTTAACATTTTACTTTCAAAATATTGCACAAAATAATAAGGTAGCATTTTTGTAGTTGCATTTTTGTAGTTCTGTTTTGCAAGCAACTTCAAGTTGATAAGCTCTCAATTGCAAAACAGAAAGAATGTAATATATTACTTATTCTTTTTCCATTTCAGAGAGAGAGAGAAAGAAATTTCCCAATTTACAGATCTAACTCTAAATTTTTAAAAGTTTGCTTTTTTGCCCAAGTGTACCAAATTTTCAAATACCAGCTTGAATAAATTAGGGAGAAGCAAACGCGAAAATTTTTTACGTAAATTTTATCAGAAGTATTGGTCATAGTACAAAATTTAATTAGAACTTTATTATAAAGTTCCTAGTTAATGTGAAAATCTTATATTATCATTAACGTCTTTTAAAGTTATCTTTCTGTAGAAATTTTATTCGAAACGGAATATTTAAAATACCCTACTACTTAAGTATTTTAATTTCGCAAGTACACAGCTTTAATTTACTTTGCTACACAAATTTTATTTATGCTTTACCTGACTCTCGTGAAAAATTTTACTTGCACTAAATATTCATTACATTAAGTTTGACACTCCAACATAAGTTTTAACGCTGAATTAAAAAAAATTAATATTTTTAAGACATATTTCATTATACAAAAACAAAAGTATAAATATCAGTAAATAATAGGCTCATTGTGTTTTGTTACTTTGTAAACATCAGTTTGAGAAAAAGAAAGATTATGAGGAAATAGATAAATCGAAATTAAATTACGATCGAAATTAAATTACGAGATTTTACTATAATATACACTGGGAAAAATATAGTCAGAGCTACCAGGATTTGGTAGAATTTACCGTATTTCTGGCTCTATGGGAACACTAAAAAACTTTTAAATTTTTACAGAAGCGTTTTGGTAATGATTTTGGTAAAATTAACAAAAAAATATGGTCTTATAACATGCGATAAAATTCGATAAAAGTGGTCAAATTTGGCAATTTTATCATGATACCCTAAAGAGCAGGGCATAAAAACCATTTATTCGATTAAATTGTTTTTTCAGTTATGTATTTTTTACTAAATGCGTGGTAATCATAACTATAATTTGAAGAATAAGAATTTCCCGTAAATTGTTACGATATGAACAAAAATAATTACCGAATAAATGGTTTAAATAGTGTATTTTTTTTATTACCAGAAATGTCATTATCATACAGTATGGTACTTTTACCATAATTTTTTTCTCCAAATTTTATTTCTCATTTTATTCCAAATTTATTTATTTTATTATGTATTTGATGATAATTTTTTCTATTCATAATAAAATAAAGAATCACACTGATTATGTTAAAAGTAATTCTTTACTTTATTATTCGATTACGTATTTATTTACTTTATTATTACGTATTGAATGATATTATACTTATGTATTTTATGTTATTAATGTAATTCATTTTAATAAAATGAGTTCGTATTATAAAAAATTAGCAAACAAATATTAATACCGTTATTATAAATACCGCTTTGGAACTATTAAACGAAAAATTATTGTGCTGAATATCTTCACGAAACAAACTTAATTAGGAAAATGAAACGTGAACCAAGCTTCAAAACTGAAATATTAAAATTTACATGTCACTCTCATGTCAAGGGCACATTTTATACAAAAATCAAAATTGGTGTTTGAAGTTTAAAAACGGAATTGTGGTTACTTTTAACCTAATCTACCCACGTATTTTGCTTTTACGAAATATATGCTTGGCGTTTTGATAAGAAAAAGTTATAGTAATCGTTTTTACCTAGAAACGTTTTACGTTATTTTTGCATAATTAATCATTCAAACTGTCGGTTTTGTGGTTTTATGTCATAATTTCAAATAGACAACAAAAGGAAGTATCTTTTTTGTTTTATCCTTCACCCATTTTTATGATGTTTATAAAAGACAAATATTATAATTAATTTTATTTAAAATCCAGAAATTGAAGGGTTGGTAGCGCTATAATTAGCTAATGTACTTACTACTACAGACAGATTTAAGTAAGCAACCGTTTTAAATTAAATACAGATTTGGTGGATAAGTAGTATATTGTACATTATTATTCTGTATTAAATAAGTTATTATTAACAATAATATAATAAAGCAGATTTGATTCAAAAACTGCTCTATTATAACGGCCAAGTATTCATTGATAATTTTCATTCAGAAAATCATCGGTACTTTTGCTAAATTGGCATAAACTATAATTTATATTAATATCAAATTAATCTAAAACGATTTTCTAATTAAAAAATTCTGTTCGCAATGAAAAATAATACTTATTTTACTAAAGTTTTACTAAACTTTAAATGCTTAGATGAAATATATTTTTACATTTTATCTAAAATTTTCCAAAATGGATTGAGCTTTCTCATTTCACTAATACTTACTTTTGCACTCATTTTTATGGGAAAAAAAACCATTCCGTACTAATTAACATGAATTTTACTTTTTAAACTGTAAAGAGATTTATAAATTTTAATATGATTTTAAAAGTGCTACATTTATTTTTTAAATTTATGTATGTTTGATAATTATTAGGTTATTATAATTTTTATTCCTATTTATTAGGTTATTACTATACCTTATTATTTGGTTAATTCATGATTATTAGGTTATTATTATTTCTTATTTTTGAATATTGGTCCTTATTATTTATTTTGGTTACTATTATTTTTTATAATTTGATTGTTGATTCTTATTATTAGATTATTATTATTCATTATTATTTTATTACTATTCCTTTTTATTTGATTATTGATCTTTATTATTAGGGTATTTTTATTCCTTATAATTAAATTACTATTTCTTATTATTTCATTATTGTTTCTCATTATTAGGTTATTATTATTCTTTATTATTTGATTACTGTTCCTTATGATTTGATTATTATTATTTTCCTGATTATTATTATTTCTTTACAGAATTAAGATCGGTAATATAAAAGATGAATAGAGTGAATAATGTGGGCAGATACACAAGACCAGATTCAACTGCAAACGAAGAGGCTTATCGGCGTGAAGAATATGCCCGTTTACGAGAAGACATAGAAAGAAAGCGACGAGCAGCTTTACCCCAAAACATCAGAGGTAAAATTTCTTTTTAATAACAATTTCAAATATTTTTTCAAAAATATTAATTTTGATACATTATTCCAATTTTTTTTCTAAATTCCTAACTAACAAATTTTGATTCTATTTTAAAGAAATTTTGTATTAAAGTGAAATTTCGAAGAAATCCCATAATTCAAAAATCCTTACTGTGTATTAACTTCACAAATTTATATTTTAATAAATAAAAAGGCGAGACTGATCAGTTTGATAAAAATATACAAACTATAGATACTTTTTCGTTAAAAATGGTCTTACAAAGTTAAATTTTTATCTCTTTTTTGGTGAAAATAGATAACTGTTTTCAATCTTTCTTGTCAGTTTTTATATTTATAAGAAAATTTATACTTTCGGAACTAAAAGGAGAAATAAACAAAGTTTTCAAACTCAACTCATCATTTCAAAGAATTTCTGTGCATATAAGCGCACAAGTTTTTTTTAAAAAATTTTTTTTAATTTTTTTTTTATGAAAACTGCTTTTTGGAATTTCGAAATGCTTTAAAGCTGATTTTCAGAAAATTCTCAAAATATCATTTAATACGTTGAAATATATTGCTAATGAAATATATTTTATTCTTATTTTTTAAAGGAAAAATCAGTATGTAACAAATAGTAGGCTTTAAAATGTTTTCAATTTGATGAGTAAAAAATGAATAAATTGATTCATTCTTTTCTTTTTGGTAGCTAGATAGCCGAAATTCTTTTCCTTCTTTTTTATTTTATACTAAAAAAAGCAAATTTTTTTTGATTTGTTGTTCTATCTGACTCAAGGAAAAATTGTTAATTGTGAGGTCATTTTTCAAATAAAATTTCAGTTCCCCATTTTTTGAAGCTCCATTTTTTTAAATACTTCAATCCGGATAGTTTTTTTTAAATTTATGAAATCCCAATTATGATATCGTCATTTAAAAGTTGAGTTTTTTTTTAAAAGAAAAAATTTACTTTAAAATTTTAAAAAAGGGGGAATATTCCATGGGAGTTTGCGACTAAAGTCGTAGGGAATATTATTTCTTTTTACCTATTTTAGCTTTAGATTTTTATGCATAAATTAATAATTCAAACTTCAAATAATAATTCAAATAATTTTCTGCAAAATACTTATTTCTCTTTTCAAATGCAATTTTAATAGGGTTTAAATTGCAAATGAAACTGTTTGGAAAAAGGTTTCACAGTAACTACAAAATCAAAACAAGTTCGTTAGCACCTGTCTAGAAAATGTTAAAAAGTTACAGAAATAGCAGATTGTACCTGTTGTAACACATATCAACTACATATACTGAATGCAGAAATTCTAAACTAATGAGCGCAGATATTTACATAGTACATGCAATAGAAGGAATCTCCGTTCTATAAAGAATTAAAAATTGGTGCAGGAGGTACGAAGAAAGAAAAATTTGTGAAGAAAAATAATGATAAAAAAAAAATTCATAAACGCATTTAATAGTTTAGTATTGCCGTGCGACGATTGCGCCTCTGATGCGTTAAAATCATTCTAAAAATCAAACCAACACTCTCAGAAGTAAAACTCTTACATTTGACGATTCAATAATCCTTGAGTTATATTTTGTTAATAATGAAAATCATTTCGTCATGAAATAAGGTGATTTGTGACAAAACACCAACTCTCAAATGTATGACGAAATTTTTTCTCAACTCGGTATCTCATCGTTGTTTTACCACCTCAAATCTAATTTGACGAAACTAAAAGACAAAATATTTCTTTAATTTTGACGAAATTTATTTCTTTGAAGAAATGACGTAAGTATGAGGATATGTTCTAATGGAGAATATACCAGGGAACGGATTCGTCAATACAAAAAAAATATTCGTGAAATATGAAAATCCATCTTTTACAGTGTACAATCAAATTTAAGTAAATTAAGTTCTAAACTCTTCCTGCATTAATGCTTATAAAAAAGTTCAAAAATTTTTAATTTTGATCCAAACAAATGCCAGTCATTCCTAAGTAAAGGCTTTTCTTTTCAAAGTTTAGACCATTGCTAATATTCATTATTTTATAAACACAAATTTTTACTAATTAATATATTTCACGCAACCTAATTTACCTTATCTAATTTAAGTAAATATGCTTAAATATTTATTGTTCTTTGAGCCATTTAAAAATTACAGTAAAAAATATACGGAATTTTGGAAAAGTTAACAGCCGAAATACAAGAGCATTTTACAGCCGTGTAATATATTAGAACCGCTCAGCATTAAACGCCGCAATTACGTTTCATAAAGCTTTTTGGAACATTTTTTTCAAGTTGTAATAATCTGGGAAAAGGAAAACCCCATGACTTGAATAGAATATCCTTTCTTTTATAATGTTTTAAACATATTTTTTGGAAATAGCATGTTTTTAATCAATGTTAGTCAATCATGATAGTAATGCTTGAGCTTGTAATCTTTAAGATTTAATTTAAAATGAAGTTTTATAGTAAAAAAATGCTTTAAAGTTTTTGTATAATGTTCTTTCAGTCGGTCCTCAGCCAATATTAGTACAAGGTGTGGAACTTTATGCAAGGGAAAATGCCAAACTTCACAATACTCAATTGTATGAATTACTGGACAGTAAAGAAGCTCCTCTTATTATTCGGCGTGGTCAAACATTTTATATGGCTATACGGTTTAGAAAGCTCTTCAATCCACAAGTTGATACTGTCAGACTGCACTTTGAGTTTGGTAAGTACTTTCTAAGATATTATTCAAATATTAATCACATGAAAACTATTATTATCGCTTTCGCGAAATAATAATGTTCTTCCAATCTTCGAAGTTATATGTTTAATAAAAGTTAATACTTACTAATTGAATTACTTTCGGAAAAATGTTATATAATTCTGTATATCATTTCTATAAAATTGTTAAATATATTCGTTTAAAAATAATATTATTCCTATGTTGAAATCCTTAATGTATTCTGTGACTGTAGTTTTGCAAATAGTTCAGAAATTCATCTGATTTTAATTAAAGAGATACATGCAATATATTTAAAAAATTTTAAAGTAAATATTTAAGAATAAATTGTTAAAATAAATAATTTAAAAGTATATAATTTCATGAACAATAAAATTCATTTTAAAAAATAATTGTGCCTTTTATCATTTACCATGTTAAGTAGTACGAATGATATTTATTTTTTATACATCCTCATTAAATCATACAAATTAAATTTATAATTGCTCCGTAAGCCTAAACATTTAGAGGGCGGTAAGCATAAATATTGGATTATACAGTTTATAAATAAAGACATTAAATTTGTTACCTTCTTCATTAAAATATTCTACTACTTTTTCATTTATTATTTTAATTTATTGACTTATATGATTTATTTCTATTATTATTAAAATGTGTGTCATTATGAAAATATTAGTTTTTAATGTTTTGTTCATATAGTTAAATATTAGGGAGATTTTGTAAATTTATGTACACACCCACACGTAATAAGATTTGAAGCAACGTGCGTTGAAACATGCTTGCGTTTTTTTGATCCTACGTATCTTACAGTTTTGTTGGCGTGGTATTACAAAGTTACAAGCATGCTTTTTAGAGTTGTTAAATGTTGTTTTCTGCTAAAGACAACCTTTGTATTAATATCAGATAGATCAAGAGGAGCTTAACATATATTGAATGCAAGTAATATTCAAGATAAAATGAAGATGAATGATTTGTTTTCACAAAATGTTAAAATGGATCTTGTAATTTTACAATTGGCTGATTTAATAAAAAAATAATTTTATTGGTTTCAGTTTAAAATTACGCTTGTCAAATTGACTTAGGTTCATAAAAAAAACTAAATAATATTTCTTTTTTTAGAAATAAATATCGTATATATTTTTACTTTAATTTTATAATCCAATGGAGGAAATGTATACTATCCACATCCATTATTATAATGTATATTTTGATATTTGAACTTAAAATGATATCTCACAAAGTTGGCGTTTTTAATAGTTTACAAGATCTCTTATCTTCCTTCACGCAAGATTTATATTTCTTCAAGGGCGCATGCGCATTTTATCAAAATTGGCAGTGCACTTCAAGTGCGTATGCGCAACTAATTTTACATAGGAAATGCATGGAATGTAACGTAAAAGTGCGTAATCTCCCTGTTATTTAAACCTTTTACTTAGGGTTTATATAGTTAAGGTTGTATAATATTTAAGCTGAATAAAGATTTCACATAATTTAAGATCAAATTAACTTTAATTTACATAGATCATTACATTTATTTAATGTTTAACGTTAAATTCATCTAACTCACTGTAGCATTATTTTATTGAACTCTACAAATTCAAACTTGCTATTTTTTTAATGATCTAATGAAATTTTTATGTTCAAAAAGAAATATGAGTTTTTGGACTCGTTTGTTTATGATGCCTCTAATTGCAATGTTCTAATCTTCAAATGTTCAATCATGAATGTCTTAATGTCGCAATAAAATGTTCAATCTCACATAATGGTTGGTTTAAAAATATAACACACTATGCAGAAATTAAAAAAAAATTATTTTTTCAGGTCCACCCCCATACCTTATGCAAAAAGGCAACTTAATCAGTTTACCTATCACAAATGTGTCTTCCTTTACTAGAGATCGAAAAATGTGGGATGTACGCACACATCAGCATGAAGGTGCTGTTATCACAATTGATGTTCAGATGGCCGGTAGTGCTCCCGTTGGTGTGTGGAAAATGAAAATTTTATCATACCCAACTGGCGATTTAAGTTCTAAACCTGAAATATTTGAAATAAAACAAAATGTCTACATTTTATTCAATCCTTGGAGTAAAGGTAAGTTTTAGTATTCGTATAATTCTTTTCTTAAAATTTTTTAAAGACAGTTAGCGTTTAACCATTTTACTTAATAACTTTAAAAATAAACACATTAAAAATTGTTGCGTATTTTAAAAACAGATTTTTCGGGCTGTTGTGAAATCCCATCTGGAATTCGCATAACCATTGTGCTAGATTTTGCAGTCATGATTTCATGCAAAATTAGATTTCAAACTTCGTATGGAGGATGTATGGGATCAACATGTTATCCGTAAATTTTTCATTAACAAGTGAAGATTTTTTGACGAGGTTTTTGTGTTATTTTTTCGCAAATTATACGGTAGAAAGACCGAGTAACACTTCAACCTGAGATTCTGCTTGAAAATGGTGGCGATATTTTAAATACCAATATCGCTTACTGTGGCTTCTTTAACTTATAAAATTAATGAAATATAAATGTTCACGCTTTAAGCGTACCTATATCGTTTAGTTCTTACAAAGAAATAGAAAGTAAAAAACTCTTTTTATAGTAAAAGTAAAAAATACTTTTTTAACTTCCTTTCACAAAAACTATCTGATCTTTTTTTTTCAAGATAAGAGCTACAGTAAGAAAAAAAGTGTGGTCTAAGCTATCAAAATATGGTAAAATTTACCATGGTTTTCGCTTTATGGGAACACTGAAAATCTCGGTAATTTTGACTAAAGCGTTTTGATAATGATTTTTGCTAAATTAACTATAAAATATGGTTTCATAATATGTGATAAAATCTGAGTAAAGGATGATGACAATTGGTAATTTTAATATGATACGTTAGAGCATGGCATAAAAATCATTTATTATGTAAAATTTACTTTCAATTCTGTATTTTCACTAAATGGATGATAATAATAAGAATAATTATGAGAATCACAATTTTCTGTTAACTGTTGCCGTAGCGAAAAGAAAAAAGAATTAAATGGATGATTTAAAAACAGTATATTATGGTTTCATTAACCAGAATTATGGTAATTTTCTTAACCAAAAGCGTCATTGCTGAACAGCACGATTATTTTACCAAATTTTTTTTTCTCCTTGCAGTATTATAATTTACTTTATTAATAATGCTTATTGGCACATCGAAAATGGAAAAATATTTTTTGTGACATTCTATATTTGATATTTCCTTTTCTTGTATTGCTTGTTACTCAAACAATTAAACTTGTTACACTATTTACGTTTTTGAATTTATTTTTTAGAGGATACAGTCTTTCTGGATAAAGAAGATGCAAGGAGAGAGTATGTATTAAATGATGTGGGAAAAATATTCGTTGGAACACAAAAAGAGCCCCGAGGCAGACGCTGGATTTATGGCCAAGTAAGATACACGAATTATATGACAAATTATGGTCTTCCTGTTTTATTGGTAGTATTTGAGCAATGAGAAATCCCTTTAAAACCTGCTTAAGATTTCAAAGTGAGCGTCAAAGTATTCAAAAATATACATGGATTAGGAAAAATAAGTACCCAAAAATTTTAAGAAGTATTTGTTTAGTCCAAAAAGGGGAGCATTAATATACTTAACAAAGGAATTTTGGAATTTGGGAATTTTTTAAAATTTTTTGCAATAAGGAAATCATTTGAAACTTGCTCCAGATAACAAAGTGAGCGTCAATTTTTCTAAAAATACCCATAAGTGTGGAGAAATAAGTAATCAAAAGATTTAAGTGCGATTTGCTAACTCCAAAGAAGAATGTGTTAAGAGCATATGTATGAGCATTAAGAGCAAACTTTTAAATAAAAAAAAAATTAACATTGTGAATCTAGTGAAAAAATTCTTGTTGAGAAAAAAGAGTTATAAAAATATGTCAGATATTTTCCTCCCTAAAACCAGAAATGAGTAAATAGTATAATAATTTAGGCTCTAAGAAGACAGAAAAGTATTTTCTTTAAAAATAAATCTAATTTATCCTTATCTAGGCTTAAATAATAAAATATTCATTTATAAAATCTTAATTAATTAGACATTTGTGTACTTAATTAGGGTTGGTTAAATGTTTACTGATTAAATCATTATTTATATGTTATTTATTCATTAAATCATAAATTCTGAGATGTTCGCTCATTAATTACTGACAAATTAAATAACGATTTGTTATAAACTGTTATCAATTATATGCTTACATTTTTAAATAATTGTGAAAGAAGTATTCATTTATAAGTTTTTATTAATAAGATCTAATTTTTTACATAAATGATGATCATGGAATTATTAATCGATGAAATAAATTTTAAGTAATTACATTATCTTTAATATTCATTAAATTAAAAAACGTTGCAAATATTTTAAATTCCTTTTCAGTTTGCTGATTCCGTTCTACCTGGAGCAATGTTAATGTTAAATCATGCTAATCTGGATTATACCGGTCGTGCTAGCCCCATATTGGTATCAAGAGCTGTTTCAAAACTGGTGAGTTTAGAAAATTCCTCCATGAATAGAATTGTTAGTTTCTCAATTAACTTAGAAATTTATGTGAATAATGAAGGCTTAGAAAGCAACTCGTATAAATTCGAATAATTGAATACTGAATTATCAGTTTTTCAATTGCTTTCTGATTAAGGAACATAATATTCAGTGCGAAAAAAAAGGTCCAACCTGAATAACACCTGTTGTTGTTGTTTCTAATGCTACTTGCCTCACGGGCAAGCCTGCTTGGTGAAACCACACAAATTTAAGGCAGAGTGTGCGTTTCTTGTTTGTCAGTGGCACCATCCTATGGCCAAGAATTCGACTTCAGTGACTCACACGTCACAGCCCGTTTTATAGGGCGGACCCATTCACACATCCATTCATTCATCCACAGATCGTAATTTTGACCTGAATCAGAGAACGATCGATCTCCAATAAAGTACCCCCACAGGTATTGATTTGTTATGGGAACATGGAGGCCTTTGCAACTCAACAGATTTAACGTGCATCAGTCACCATTTACTACACGGGGAGTCTTCGGCCGGCGGGGTTCGAACCCACGAACTCTTGCACATGGACCCAGTGGCCTACCGACCAGGCTATCCCGGCCTGAATAACATCTAATGTAATAATCAGATTTTTAAGTAAGAATTCAATGGCTCGAGGAGATGACCTCCAATATGCTAATAAATTAGTGTAGACGATATTACGGAACTTTAAGTTACGAAATCAGGCGCAAAACGTAATATCTCTAAAAAAACAAACCTTAATTTCGTCGGATCCGGATTTTTCCTCCCCCAAATTATAAGGGGTGGCGGCAATATGTTGGCCAGGAGAGCTGAACGAAATTTGGAACCCATCATGCACATCTCGATCTCGAGAACCTTTTAAGTGAATTGAAAAAATTTTGAACGCAATTATAAAATTCGTTTATCCAAAGATCGCTCCATGTAAAAATTAATTATTAATAATCATTTATTAATTTTTATCTCTTTTTTATTTCATAATACTTGAAAAAATTTCCAATCAAAAGGTATCTAAAATTTTACATCATTTCAAAGAATGTAATGTTTTAAGGAAAAATATAAAATTTGAGAGAAATAGGTCCAATAGTTTCTGAGAAATCGATTTTTAAATACCTGACTTTTTTTCGGTAAGGTGAATTTTACTGACTCTGCACTCAGTGTGGTAGTACTTTTTTGCCATAATTTTATAAGGAATTTTTACAGTGCGTCGGGTAATGTCCTTTTAACTAAAAAAACAGTGTAAGGAATGCCAGATAATTCTAATCAGGGCATTACTGGGCCACGACGCCTCACATTACACGCTGCTCCTTAATTTTAGCCGGGTTCATACCTACATTGCTTTCCTGCTATGTCCTTCTCGCTCCCGTGAAAATGATGGGGTGAGGTTTCGCTCTCTATTTCTCGCTCCCGTGATATTTCCGGCCTGGAGTGTTCAGTGGTAACGAGCCAATAAGAATAAAACTATTTTATTTCTTTTGCCCGGAAAACATTTTATTTCTCATTTTACGCACCAGATGGCAGTACCGGGATATTTTGAAGGTAATTGTGGATAGTTAGTTTATTTTAAACTAGATGTCAGCACTAAACAAATACGTAATACAAATACAAAAGCCAAGCCATTTGCTTTAGGCCCTGGCTTAGTGGAGTGTGTTGCGAATATTAAAATTAATTCTTAATTGATTCCAAGTCTGACTTCATTTTATGAAACATCACATTGGATATTTTTTTGTGCAATACATAATCAAAAAGAATCGGTTGTATTCCCTTAAAATATTTTTTCCAGTTTTTTTTCAACATGTTGTTTTGATATTGTATAGGTAAATAGTGAAAATGATGACAAAGGAATTGTAGTAGGAAATTGGTCTGGAATGTATGATGACGGAACGGCCCCTTGGATGTGGACTGGAAGTGCACAAATAATGGACGAGTATTTCAAAAATGGCGGGGAACAATCAGTGAAATATGGTCAGTGTTGGGTATTTGCTGGAGTAGCTACCACAGGTATATTATTTACCTTTGATTTTTCTAACTTTACAAAAAAAATTGTCAATTAAGTGATTGATCAAATATTTTAGGTAATGTATGTCATCCTACAATATTCATAAAGATTTTTGGGATTTTTATTTATTCAATTAGTTCCATTTTTGCACTCGAGACAAAGGCTAGACAAACATTTTTGATAAAACAACTTTTCAAAAGTATTTCTGATATTAATCGTGGTATAGGGTGAGCGGTAATGATCACTTTAATTATTTGTTTTTAGAACTAATGTCAAAAACTAAGTCAGGAAGCATTCGTAAATGGCTCAAAATAATATTTAATTACGAAATTTTTTTTGTCGAAACCTAACGAATTACCATGGAAAAGTTTTTGCCGATAGCAAAAAAATATGTTTTGTTGCCGGAGGGAACAGCGATGGGTTAAAAAGCTATCATTCGAAACATTTCATTTTTCCCTAGGCAATCAAACTGTTTTTTATGTTTCCTGTCTTGATCATATAAACTAAAGACTTAGTGAGAAGAACTGACCTAATTTAATTTTTGTTTGGTACAAAAATGGTTTGTAAATTTAAGTTATTTCCCCAATTTTTCGGTACTCAACATTGGTAAGTCATTTTTAAAAGAGCTTGCGTAATAGCTTATACCCAAATCATGTTGCCAAATGGAATATTTTAAAAAATTAAATATTTGAGAAAGAACTTAAGGTGCTTATTGAACAACTGAATTATTATGCTATGTATTAAGTTATCACGCAGCCATTACACCTAAATTAACACTGGGAAGTAATTTTTTTTTTAATTTATGGAAATATTTGATCCTGTCTAATTTTGATGTGGGGATTTCAAATCTGAAATTAGTTTTGCTTCTGATTTTTAAAGACTACCCAAAAATTGCGATTTTCATCAAAAATTGACAAGTTGAGTTTTGTGTTTTACTGTTTTTATTATTTCATTAGCTTTAAGAAAATACTTAGTTTTTTAAATTCTGATCACTGGGAACGAAGTTACAGCTGTTTTAGCTGGAGCTAATCAGATTGTTTTTGTTGTAGAAATTTACAAGTTTAAAAACGCTATAAACAACAAATAATCGCGCAAGCGCTGTGACAAATGCTAGAAAAGTTGGGGTACATCATTAGGTTTAAAACTGCTTAGAAAAATGCCCAGAAATGTCACCGTACGCGGTTCAGGACACATCACTGTTATAGTCCGTTTAGAATTACACGGAAAAATGACTCATAATAGTGAAGCTCCCCAGGCGACTAGCAGCATTTATGCGACCCTTTGTTACATATAACATTTTTAAACTTGAACATGTTGACAAAAAAATAAAAACATCATTCAAAAAACTGTAGCTTGAGAGAGAAAGCAATAGCAGGTTTTAAATCAGCGATACGAAGGTATCAAAGAGCTATTAAAAAATCTCATGGAATAAATGCTTAAAAGTGCAATCATGACGGATATTGATTTATTTTTTCTGCTTTAATTGTCTAAGCAATATGCATTTTTACATATTTTTATTTTAATTTAGATGAAAACATTCAATTTAAATTTAAACTCTCCTTTCAGTATGCCGAACGCTTGGACTTCCTTGTCGAACAGTTACAAATTTCGTGTCAGCCCACGACACAGATCGCAGTCTAACAGTGGATAAATATTTTGACGAAAAAGGAGAAAAAATTGAAGGAGTTAGTAATGATTCCATATGGTAAGCGTTTCAATAATCTTTGAACCTTAAAGAAATATCTAAGTCGCATTGAATTTATCCCGAAAAATCCTGTGTGTTTAGGTTACAAAGTCACAAAAGTAAATTCTGAATAAATTATTCACAAAGGCAAACCTTCATCCTCAGAAACTCTAACTTTTGGTGGCTTAGCAATTCTTAATCTAAATGTTGCTATTTTTGAAAACTATTTTGCCAAAAAACTACAGATTTTTGACAAAAAGTGAACTTTTTGACGAAAGTGTTTCCTCACGTATGTGTCCTCTCAGCTGATTCTGAAAGTTAATGTTGTTTCCTGCCTTATGGTACATTGAGAAAAAAAAGTGGTTAAAACTATTAGAATATATAAAATATACCATCTTTCTGGCTCAATGGGAACACCAAAAAGCTCGGTTATTTTTACCGTTGTGTGATTTTGGTAAAATTAACAATAAAATATGGTTTTATAGTCTGTCACAAAATTTGGTAATTTTATCATGATACCTCTAGGCATGGTATAAAATCCATTTTTTTCAGTTAAATTTACTTTTTAGCTTTGTGTTTTTTACTCAATGTGTGGTAATAAGAACAATAATTCTGAAAACAGGAAATTCCAGAAAACCGTTACCATATGAACGGAAAAATTACCAAATGAATGGTTTATATACTGTATATTTAAGTTTTAATAGCCAGACTTGTTTAACTATAGTTTTAGTACTAATACAGAAGTTTAACTATAGTTTCTTTTAAAATCTGAAATGTCAATACCATATAGTACGGTAATTTTAATTACAATAAGTTTTTTTCTTCCTGAACGATAATGAGCAATAAACTTAGCACCATATAAAAAAGCAGTAAACTTGCGTATCGTATGATTGCACTACTATTATGCTTCATCCCGACCCAAAACTTCGAACAGCGTATGTTTTTTTTTTTTTATTATTATTATTTTTTTTTTTTTTTTAATTTCAGAATCAGTTTCTTTCATTTTGGCATAAGTATCTACTATAAGTTTGTTCAGTTTTTGACAGTTCACACGAATAAAAAAAAATGGGGCTATTTTTTGTTCTGTGACCTATTTTTACGAGTCTTAGCTTACAGATGCCCAGATAATCTCAGCGCTAAGGTCTGGAAAGTGTTGTTTCCAAAAACGGCCACTTTGCTTTTGAAGGAATATTTATCCATATTTTTATTATTATTGGAAGGAGCCAGATTTCTGTTAAAAATTTCCTTATTTGGATGGGAATTCTCGTTTATGTCTGCCTTAATTATTTCTGATATTGTCTTCTAGTTTGGATTGCTGTTCATCCTTTTCCCCACAAAAACTAAAAACATTCCCCCCCTACGAAACTCTCTTTTCTTAATCTTGAAAAATCCAAACATTTCACCTTGTTTCTATTAATACATTCGGTATTGCACGAAAAATGGAACAACGTGACTTTCAACAACTCTAACGTAACAATTCCAGAAAATCGCTACCTTTTTATTCGAAAAAATGGCTAGACACAAGAACAAAACTATTTTCCAGAGACGTTAATGCATGATTATAAGAAATTTTTGCAATAATCATTATGTAGTTATATTATTATTGCTTTTCTTTATAGATGATTTTTATCACATTTAACCATTTTACTCGAATCAGTAAAATAATACCATTTATGATAATGATCGTAAATTTGTTTTGTAGTTGAAGGACGAATGAAATTGATACGGCCCTTTGTAGTTAAATTAAAAGTCTATTTCAGTTATTCAATAAATCTTAATGCTATTATTTAAAACGCAGTTGATGTCAGAACCAAGGTCTTACAGTTAATATATCATGAAGATGTCAAAGATTTCATAAAGCTGAAATTTTACTATAGCTTATAAGAATAAAAAAGAAATTCTAAGGCAATATCGATTGTACTTTAAACTGTTATTAAAACATCATTTAGGTATTTGATATTTTAGTATCTATATATTAGTTTTATTTATTAAAAAAAATTAAAAAACTATTTACTTAATCATTTTTTTTATAAAGCTTCTAAAAGTATTTCACTCTTGCACTTTTTATAAACTATTACAGTATGTATTATTAAATAAAAACCTCAAAATTGATTTTAAAAAATAATATTTTTTCAAAATTTTGTGATAAGTGTGTTAATTCTATTCTTCTTGATAAGGAACTGGTAGTAATTTGTATAAAATCAATAATCTTGTTCTAGATATTATTTATTTCTCTTCCTTTTTCGTTACTTATGAGAAAATAGGCCGAAAAGCTTAAGGCTCATCTTTAGGAAATTAGTAGACGTTGAAAATGAAATTTTAAAATACACATGCTAATTAAAATTTGTTAATACTGCAAAATCAAATAAAAAAATATTGAAATCGAAACGAAATAACACGCATGCTAATAAAATTATAACTGCAATAATTTCATCAGTTATTATTCTTAATTTTTTTTTAAATAATGGCTTGAATATGACATAAATTTAACTTAAAATATTCATAAATATATATTTTATTTTTAAAATTATTATGAAATATTTCCCTCGAGTAATGATTAATGATTGTGAATTTTTTTTCAAAAAAATATAGCTCTTTTTAAATTTTATTCAAACATTTATCCCATTTTCAAAATCAAACGAAAATTTAAACATATGGATAATTGTTTAAATTTAATTGATGAATTTATACAATATGGTCGAATCGAAAATTCACTTATTATTTTTTTCTCGCGTTTTAAACAAAAAAAATTCTCATTTATTAACCAAATTCAGGCAATCTAAATAAATATAGTTCTTTTTAAATTTTATACAGGTATTTATCCCATTTTTCTAAATCAAACAGAAATTTAAACCAATGGATAATTGCTTAAATTTAATTGAGGAATTTATACAATGTGGTAGAATCGAAAATTCATTTTATTTTTTTTCGCGTTTTAAAAGAAAAATTTCTCATTTATTAACCAAACTCATGCAATCTAAAAATATATTTTATGAGTATTAAAAAATCACATAATCCTAAAATTAAATTGTCAAGAGAAAACAATTTATTACTGATGCGCATACACTTCTAGGAACTTTCACGTATGGAATGACGTATGGATGTCTCGACCTGATTTACCTCCAGGTTATGGTGGATGGCAATCCATAGACTCTACACCCCAAGAAACAAGTGCTAGTAAGTATTTTAATTATTAGAAATTAAAAATGACTGTAGGAAGGATTGAATGTAAGAACAAAAATAAAGTAAACAAATAAATAAATATTTCAAGTTTGTGTGTTTAATACTAGAAAATATCAAGTAGTTAACCTGTCGAACTGTGTTGTCCGGTGAACTTAAGTTTTTCGAATGAAACATATGTTATTTGAGACATATATATCCCACCTGTTGAATGCAATTTAGTTTTTATGGATTGCTGACTAGACTTCGGATATAGTGCGAAGCAGAAAAAGGGCTTCACGATTTTTTTTTTTTTTTTTTTGAATTCGTGAATAGTTAAAATACAATTTGCTGGTGATTTCGTTGTAAAAGCAAAATAAGTCAAATTGTTATTAGCAACAATCATAGGTTTTTTCGGATGCTTTTTTATTGAAAATGTTAATTCTTTCCAATGGTATACGGAGAGAAACATTCTATTAAAATTACTGTACTGTATCGTAATGATAACCAAAAACCAAACCGTAAAGATAAAAAAAAACCAAAATTCTGGTTAATGAAATCAAAATATAAGGTATTTAAGTCATATATTTGGTAATTTGTTTCATTCGCATTATAGCGGTTTACCGGCTTTGAATTTCCAAATTATAAATCTTATTATCATACATTTAGTAAAAAATACAAAACTGAAAACAGAATTTAACCAAATAAATGGTTTTTATGCTATGCTCTAGATGCTCTAGAACATGACTTTAGAGCATAGCCTCAGCTGAAGTATCATGATAAACCTGAAGTATCATGAAGTATCATGATAACTTTTACCACATTTAGAAAATTTTATTACATATCATAAAACCATATTTTATTGTTAATTTTACTAAAATCATGACCGCAACGTTTCGTTAAAAATCACCGAGCTTTTTAATGTTCTCATTTTCACAATATGTCTCAGTTTTTCGTTGTAAATTCTTCACAACACTGTAGAACATTTAAGCTCATTTTACACCAACAATCAACAATAGTAGCAACTACTTTACACCAAATTGGTGTAGTGAAACTCCATATAGTATTAGTGTTTCACTACACCAAGAAAGTTCTTTTGTATTACTTAATATTAAGTAGCTGGTACCCTTTTTATTATTCAGTAACACAAAAAATTATAATTTGAGTTAGATATGATGCACACCTTGATGCAAAATAAGAATCTTTAATTAAGAATACATCTCTACACTAATTCTTAAAATAAAATTAGTTTGCAAATTAAATACACAATGTAGCACAGAAAGATTATTAAGATGAATTCGGACTAGGTTCAGCCAAACGAAGTAGAGGGAAAATGTAGAGTATAAAATCATAAATACAATTTACAGAGATAAACAGAATATATGCTCGAAAATTAAAAAATTTCAAAATAATAGACTCGTAATTGTATGCAACGAAAAACAATACATGCATAGATTAACGACGAACTTCTGTAGATGTATAGCAGCATGAAAGCCAACATCAAACTCATGCCAGCTTGTGCTGGATTGCAAGCAATTTGTTGGCGATTTCCAAAGTTTTCCTACGGTGATATTTTCCGGAGCGAAAATAAATAAATTATCTTGTGCGTGAGATTTTCGTAAACTTTTTCCACTTAAAGTGTCTAGATTTAAATTACACCCCTTAAATTATATATGAAAGCTGTTAACGTGAAAAAAGTGCGCGAAAAAGTGTTACTTCGCATCATTATTTGGGTTATTTATTCTCATATTAGGAGAGATATTACATCACAGATGGTACGATATACATAATTATGACGCTAAGTTTTGAAGCTAACTCGTGTTTTGCCTAATTTTGTCGTCTTTCTTTTAGATGTTTTCCAAATGGGACCTGCATCAGTTGAAGCTGTCCGACGAGGACAAGTAGGTTTTGACTTTGACTGTCCTTTTGTGTTTGCTGAAGTCAATGCTGATATCATTAAATGGACAAGAGACGAAACAGTAGAGGGAGGATGGAGGAAAGCTGCTAGTGACAAATACAAGTGAGACTAAGACGATTTATTAAAATAATTTTAAATAATGAATTTTTGCTCGTAAAATGTACCAAATATTTTAAACAAAAAAGCAAAGTGATTATTTTTTAAATAAAAGTTACTATTCTTTTTAATATTTTATGTATCGTTGTCGAGGTAGTTTGATTGACGATGCTGATGTTGTCGTTTGAATTTGATATTATCGATGCAATGCACTAAACTATATAATGCAGAATTAAACATATTTTTAAATATTAATGAGATCTGTTTACTAGCACAAAATAATTTAATTTGATTCATGAGAATCAAAAAATTCCATGACGCATACACTGAATATTTTCTACAAAGCAAATTCTATTAGTAAGAAAAGTTATAAGAATTACAATAATGAATACAATTTTTCCTGAAGGTAAACAGTTTTAAAATAGTTTTTAAACTCTAATCTTGTGATTTTAGTGATTTTTATTTTCATACTTATCAAATTTTTTAGGTTCACATGAAACAGCAAATTAATATCACCTTCATACTTAAGAAATATTGCAAAAATAAAGAATGTCTCAAATAATTTAGGTTCACAATTCTTTGCTTCGTTTTTAAAATTGATGTATAATACGAAGGAGAAAAATTAGTTAAATGTGTACTTTTCGATTTATAAAATTATTATATTTACGGAAAATCTTAGGTATTTTCACAAACTATAACACTTAGAAATTAACAATTTGATTAAAATTTAAAGAGAATAGAAACTTTGATTTTTGTTGTTGTAAAATTATTGTTGTCATTGTTAGAATCGGCCAATTCATGCTGACGAAAAAGATAGGAGTGGATGACGATATTGGAGACACCGATGCTGAAAATATTGTAGCAGAATACAAAGATAAAGAAGGTAAAAATTAATTCAAGGAGTTCAAAGAAATTCAAAACGTAAAAAAATAATGATTCAAGCTGTCTAAAAGGGAAATAAAATAATTATGTTTCTGATATACCTAAAAAAAGTATGTCGCTTTATTTATAAAAGCTGTGAAGGATTTTCTGTGGTGATCGAAGTATATATTACGTAGATAATGCGCCTTACGCTTGAGTTTGAGTACACAAATCATCTTGAGTACACAAATGCATTCCATACAAGTGAGAAATCTTTAGTGGGTAAAAAAAAATCTTTGTAGAGAAAAATTCCTTCCTTGTATCTCATTTTGAGTTTTTTGAATCCAGGCCTTACAATTTGTGCACTTAATAAATTATAATTTCCTGTGCTTTATATTTATATCAATTCAACAGCAAAAATTCTTTAGGAGATGAAATAGATTTCAGCATCTTTACCTTCAAGTCCTGTATTGGGTAGTTGTCAATACATTTCTTTTTCTGTAGCCTGCAACGTGTTCACCACATCTCCTTTATGAAAAAAATTAACCTTTTTCCATAATAGATTCACAACCGACAAAAAATCGGCCATTAACAGTCAACTATGAAACTGTTGAGAATCGATTTAGTAGTTTTAATCGTAATCGTAATGTATTTGTTTTATAAAAATAATAACCAGAATCTGGGTATTATGACTGATGTAAGAAGTAATAAAGAAAGGTTGTTTTGTTTTTATTGAGAACTAAACGTTTCTTTGCGTTGATTTAATTATTAATTTCGCCTTCATTGCTGATAATTTAGGCCTCGTTCGTGAAACGAAACAGAAACAGTTCTAAAAATGTCGTCTGCTTTTGCGATCTATCATGTGGTGCTGTACATTTTTATTGCTTATGTTAGCCACTGTTTTTGATGACTCTTACATAGTCATTTTCGCTTAACTAATTTTTACTACTATTTTGAATTGTTACTATTTCGATGCCTTACATGATTTCCGTATTTTATCATAAATATCATAAATGATAATATTTAACGTACGAAAATAAAATAAGTAACCAAACGATTATAAAAAAAACTTTATAAATACAATTACAAATAGTAAAGCAAAACGATAACCTCGTCAGTTTAAGTAGTAGTTAAGCTTTTTGCCGTATTGTTGCTCTGAAGCCGTTTGAATGAGAATGTTACCATTTTACCCCGCGCTGTGAGGAAGAAAAAAAAAAANAAAAAAAAAAAAAAAAAAAAAAAAAAAAAAAAAAAAAAAACGTCACTTTTTTAGATGCTTTGGCATTAGACTGAAAATTCTTTATACATTTTTCAGTTGTTGAAATAAATACATTCTAATGCAATTCTGTATAATATAAATCTGTATAATTTAAATACTTTTAATGTATTTAAAGTTTATAACATCAAAAATGATGATGTATGAAGTATTTGGAGTAATTAAACCATAATTTCAAAAGTGCTTAGGAGAGAACCTTTTTCGGGACAAATTTCGTGATTTACGTGTAGATAAAATACAGGGTGTCCCAAAACGACAGCATAAACTCTGCACAGCTAGATTCCTCGTTGGGAGTACATAAAAACTGCTCAAAAAGGCATTCCTGTACAATCCATAGTTTACGAGAAAAATACGAAAAACAAAGTATGACGTCACTACCGGTGCAGGAAAAAAACACTTTATTGGATATATCAAGAACAGTATTTGCATATCTTTCAAGACAATAATGTTTACAACGTCCGCCGCTCATATTATGCTTTAAATTGTGTATAGTATACTGCTGTTGATAAGTTCAATAAATTGTTTTCTCTTACACCGGCAGTGACGTCATATTTTGTTTTCCGTATTTTTCTCGTAAACTATGGATCGTACAGGAACGCTTCTTTGGGCAATTTTTATGTACTCTCAACGAGTTATCTAGCTGTGCAGAGTTTGTTCTGTCGTTTTGGGACACCCTGTGTACTACTGTGGATTGTTCTGCTGAATGATTTCAGAAATTCGTAGAATACCTATACCTATCGAAGAATACTAGTTGGATAAAAAAAATATCACTATATTAAAAATTATAAATTAATTAAAAAGCTATAAATTAATTAAAACAATTATAAATTAATTAAAAAATTATAAATTAATTAAAAAGTTATTAATTAATTAAAAAAATTATAAATTAATTAAAAAATTATAAATTAATTTTAAAAAATTATAAATTAATTTTAAAAAATTATAAATCAATTAAAAAATTATAAATTAATTAAAAAATTATATTAAAAAAGTTAGATAAAGATTATATTGTTAATTAAATTGAAAATTTTCCGTTCTTAACAGGAACTGTTGAGGAGAGAATGGCAGTTTTGAATGCAGCCAGGTATGGAGTAACTGATAGCATACGTTATGCTGTTTACGATATGCCACCTCCAGAAAAAGAAGATGTGTCCTTTAATCTAATGGAGATCGATCAGATCATGATTGGAAAACCATTCTCAGTCACGGTTCAAGTTAAGAATAAAAACCCGACAGAAATGAGAACTGTCGGAGCCGTTCTTTCTGCAAGTACTGTATACTACACTGGAATACTTGCAAGGAAGGTGACTCGTCAAAGAGGGAATTTTACTCTGAAGCCAAATCAATGTGAGTTAATACAGTACTTTATACCTCATAAATTTTTATTGCCAAAAATCTTGCTCTGGCCAAACTATTAGACGCACTATAAGATTCTCTGTAAAATTTTAATTATCAGGTGATACTATACAGCTTTATTGTTTTCATGCGACTGAAACCGGTTTGCACTTGTTTATGCTCGTGTATCAATTAGTTAACATTGTAATGCAATACGTTAAAAATAAATACAAATAGGAAGTATGTAAAAAACCTCTTGAATTAAAAGTTATTGCATGTTTGTTTAAATATAAAAGTATTGCATATATGCTCGTGTAAAACATGCAATTATTAAAACACTACCGTGAGTCCAATAATTTGGTCTAATTATTATAATATAATATCCGATGTAATAAATATTCTATATTTATATAATATATCGTCTAATTTAACCAATTGATACAAAACCGTAAACAAGTGCAAACCGGTTTCAGTCTCGTAAAAACAATAAGATTTTACATAGAATTTTACAGTGTGTCTAATAATTTGGTCAGGGTCTGTATATATTTTAATTTTTAAACAATGGCATAAAAATATTTCAGGTATCTTCTTACTATCAAAAATACTCCTGACTATTAAAAATTTCAATAATAATTCTTTGTTATGAAATTATGAGGCATTAAAACTAAAGTTGAAGCTAACACGAAAACTTAAATGTATTTGTGCTGCAGTTTTTTTTTTTTTTGATCGAATGTTTTTTTATATTAATTCTATGTTAGGCATTCGGCGTTAAAAATTAAAATAAATAAAATGAATTTAATTAAAGCATAATGTAATGCCGTAGTTTGGGATGACTTTGTCCCGGTAATGGAATAAAAAGAGTTTTTTTTTCTGGCATTCAATCAAACTAAACGGGTTTTTGATTTTTAAGACATTTAAGGAACTTTAATTAATATATATTTTACGCTTTTCAACTATAAAATAATTTGACATTTGTTATAGACAAATTGTTACGAATGTCAAGGATTATTTTTTTAAAAAAAGGAAGTTAATTCTAGGAAGAAAAGCTTAGTGTTGAACCATATTATCAGCTCCTTGATTGGTAATGCAGAATAAATTTTTTCAATCAAGATGAACCAAAAAATCGTGAAATCAAGTGCCATAAATACCATAATATAAATAGCATATTATAGTTCAAATTTGCAGCATATTTAGATTAAATCAATTTAAATGATATTACTGTGTTGTTCAACACGTTCCAAAATTATTAACAATTTAACATAAGCAGCATTCAACTTGAACCAACACTGTAGAGAATTTCGTAGAAAAATGGTTAAATTATAAAAAAATAATTTATTTAATTGTTATTTTACCATATCCATGTAAAAAAACCATAAATAAGATGTTATTCAAACTGTTAACTGTGAGAAAACCGTTTATTAAATGCTTTCCCCCAAAATGGTTAAACAATCAGAATTTTATCACATCTGTTAGGCCGACCTAATGAAACTACTTTGGTTCTTGCAGCAGGGTGCATATTATAACCGAGAGGGCTTATATGTCAATCTCATGACCTACTGAGTGGGGGTTCGAGTCCCAACATTGACACCACAATATTTCCTCCATTCCCTTCAACAAATATAGTGTTTCTAGAGCTTTGCACCAGCCAATTTGTGATCATGGTCTATAGGAATACTATACTCTCATTCACGCATATATGGCAGCACCATAAAGCTGCCTAACACATAAAATTTCCCATCTTTTACGATAGATGAAACAACCAAATAAGCTAATTAAATCACATTCCGCGGTTCATTTCAAACACAACTCAGTCACGATCTAACTCTAATGCTCTTTACTTAACGAAAAACCTAGCTCAAATGTCCAGTTAATTTTTTTACTGCTTTGAAACCATGCTCGTAATAAATGGTTAAAAAAGCATGAATACAAAAACTATACGGTGTTTTAACCATACTAGTTATGAATGGTTTCAAAACCGTAAGGATAAAAATGTTCACCGTAAACTTTACAGTTAATTGGCTGTTAAGACTGCTGTCAATTATTTTATTGTTATTTTAGAAAAATTCTGACAGTGCAGAAGCGCTGAAATTCCCCTAAACTTATACATTTAAAAACAGATAATGATATTAACAGTCTACTTATTCTTCAAAAGTTTTCCTTTTATGAAAATTATAGGAAAAATTTTAAATCATTTTATGAGCAAACGAGAACTTAGAAGCTACTTCAATGTTCATAATGAATTGTCAATAAGCGCGCATTATAATGTTTGCTATTTTGTATTGCTTCATAAGAGTATGATCTAGTTTGATCTGCTATAAAAGGTTTATTAAAATATAAGTTTTTTTAAAAAATTAATTCTGTTTTTAGCTGAAGTTCTAACTATAACCGTAACTCCAGACGAATATCTTGATAAACTAGTTGATTACGCCATGATGAAAATCTATGCAATTGCCACAGTGCAAGAAACACAGCAAACATGGGCCGAAGAGGATGATTTTACAGTTCAAAAACCAAAGTTGCGATTAGAAGTATGTATTACAATACCATTAACTATTTAATTCATAAAATAATATAAAATTGCAGATTTTTTAGGGTATATTCATATATAATGAGATTTTTTATGATCGATTTGAGTTGGTTTGACAATTATTATTAAAATATTAAAATTTCTAAATAAAATATTTTGATTTCAGAGTATAAGGCATTTAAGGAATTAAGAGAAACATAAAAGATTCAGAGCTTTTAAAAATAATTTTTTATTTGAAAGAATATGTAGTTTTCCATTCATTACTGTGTTCAAATATTTTTAGGGGATAATAAACACACCCGACATCAACCAATAAAACTTGTAATCAATAAGAGATCTATATTTAAATTTGCTGACAATTCATTGTTCTTTAAGCACGTAGCTCACAATTTTGGAATATGCGAACGAATTAAAATGTACAATAAAATATTTTCTGCTAAAAATTAAGTCATTCTTCCAATTAAGTTCTTATGAATTATTTTTATCTCATAATTATTTTCCACTAATTTCATTTTGTATAAAAATTTTTAGCAAATTGCACTATTCTACAATAAACGAACAGTAAGGGGTGATTCATGTGTCAGTTAACACAAATATTTACAAACTTATTGATTATTTGATTTCATTTATATGACACCAATCGCAAAATTTATGAATTATCATGTTTATGTGTATTGTATTGTATAATTTAAAATCCTAAAGAACATTATAAATGATGTGAATAAAACTTTACTTATTGAATTTAATAATAGTTTAATTTTAATGGCCATAATTTTCTAATAGTGGCAGATAATAAATATTCTATTTTGTATTAATTTTTGCATTTCATGTTCAAAAATTATCAACAATATTACAATTACTTTCTCTTTCTGCCGCACAGTTAAGGTCTGGTTTCTTAGGACAAGCGCCTTATCTGGGCGTCAGCGGGACGTCAACGTCACGCTGACGCCAACAAAATACTGGATTGTTAGCTCAAGGCCTGGTTTCTTAGAACTAGCGCCTTATCTGGGCGTCAGCGGAAAGTTGACGTAGATCTGACGCCAAAAAAAGACTTTTTTGTTAGCTCAGCGTGAGCAGTCGGTCCAACGCAGACATTATCTCTCATTGCGCATGCGTTAATAACGTAAACAAATATTTATTTTGAATTTGTATTGATTTTGTTATTGTCGACCAGTGTTTTAGAGAACAAATAAAGACTTTGTCCAAGAAAAAACACATTATAGCTGAGCTAAATGAAGAGTGCTATGTTTAATGAAGAAGCTATGTTTAATGTCAAAATCAAAATCTTGGCTGATTTTAATGTGCTGTTGGATGTTGTCCGCCATTGCTTCTGTGGTTAACGTCACGTTGTAATCCAACTGCAGTTGAGTTGGACGGCAATTGTAGTTCAAGATGAGCGTTCGATGACGTATACTATCAAACTCACAAATGGACCAATCAGAGGTTAGCGCTGATTTCCAGCTGACGGCGTCCTGTCCTAAGAAACCAGGCCTTGTGGGATGTGTTAAATCTTCGTCTTCTGGGGTTTGAGGTTAGATTCCCCATGATAAAAGCTGGGTCTCTGATCAGACTACACTTTATCTAGTTGTGTCTTAGTGGAATCCATTCTTTTTTTAAAGCAGGAAAAGTCCACGCGTGGTTTGGCGGTTAGGAAGCGTGGTGCTAAGGCCAGATTAATTATATCACCATCTGTCCTCCGATCTAAATAGTGGTAGCGCAACGTGCGCACGCGCCAGTATTATCTTTGGGTCATCATTAAGAATTAATCCCTGATTGCGCCTAATAATTAGCTAGCTCTAATTAATTAATCTAATAGTAGATTTCCTAATAGTGGTAATCCAATTCCTAATAGTAGTTAGCTCTAATTAATTCATAAGTCTCTATTAGTAAGCTCTAATGTGACTTTATCATCCAAAGTAAAATAAATTTTTTTTCATAGGCTCCACCCACTCTACGAGTTGGATTGGAGTTTCAATTGGTGATTCGCTTTACAAATCCTTTGAATCGTCACTTGACAGATTGTCTGTTTACAATTGAAGGTCCTGGACTGAGCTCACCGTACAGAGTGAAATATAGGTAACTACAAGCTTTATTTTATGTCTATTGTTGTTGACGCTATAGTCTAACGCCAACAGTCACATTTTCTATGAGTGATATAATAGAAGTAAATATAAAATTTTGTATAACTTACAAATTGTACAACAAGTTATAGCAGTCGTTGCTGTACAATATTTTAAAATAAAATTTTAAACATGAAACTTATGAAGTTTCATGTAAAATCATGCGTTCCCAATATGGAGTGTTTTTCTTATTTTTTAATACTATTTATCTAAATAATAAATAACAATAATATCTGTTTTTGGTAAATATTAGCAAAATGCTTTAAAAATTATAAAAGAAACGACGCTTTAAAACTGAAAATTAAAAATCTACTTCAGGTAAATGCCATTTATAAAATCGCTTTATTCTAGAAAAATTATGTACTTCTTTTTGTTTTGCAAAATATTATTTATAAATCAAATAAAAGGTAACAAGACTCTTTTTACGTCAATGCAAGCAAAATACTTCAAAATTTGTTAAGAAACGAAGCTAAAAATTACAAATTTATTTTGTATAAATGCCATTTATAAAATCCTTTTTCCAAGAATTTTTGCTGTTGTTCTTATTTTAATTCAAAATTAAATTTTTTTGGAAGTTTATTATATTTTGTTCAAAAGTAAAAAAAAAAAAAACATGAAAATTATATTAAATTTAAAAGTATTTTAATCTGAAAATTATTTCGGTTAGCTGGTATTTATAAAACCGTTTTCTCAAAAATTTGCTTTTATTTCTTACTTTAAAACAGAAAATTAATAACTTAATATTGCTTTTAATTGCATTAATTTTCATCCAACAGGGATCAAAACTAAGATCTAGACTAAAACTTAAAATTTCTTTAAAAAAGAAAATTATAAGCGTACTCCAAATAAGTGTAAAAAAAGTAGTAATCTTTTTTTCTCATTCCAAATTTTTTATCCTCGAACATCGTAAAAAAAACTTTTTGAATGTTTAATAATTTACCAGGAGGCTTTGTAAGTGGCTCAAAATTTAAATAAGTATTTTAGCACTAATTTTTATTAAGCCACTATTTATTTTCTAAATAAGTCTTTAGTAAAACTCGTTAGTTTCTTGTAGAAGATCATTGATATCAAAGAACATTATAATATTAGTTTCTAACTATGTTGTAAAATTGCAGAGACATTAGTCCAGAGGAATCTGTTGTTCATTTTGAACGTCTTGTGCCACAACGACCAGGAAATAGAGCAATCCTTGTGAACTTCAGCTCAAGGCAACTTATAGAAGTCTTAGGTTCAAAACATGTCAATGTACTACAGTGAAGCAAGTAGTCTATGTACTACAGGTGGCATTCATAACATTACATGTACAGTACTATTGCCTTTTGTAACATGTACTGTTCAGATAGACAGGTCTAAAACTTGTCAATGAGAACACCATATGTTGTAAATTGTCTATTATTTTGTGAATGAATGTTTAAACCTTTGTCTGATTGATCTCTGCAAATCGCAAAACTGAATTTTGGAAACTGATTTTAGAATTGAACTTTAGTATTGAAAGATTTGACAGCTTTACAGAACTTTTTTAAGGGACTTACAAATATTGATTGCTAATTTAAAATCGAAGTTCTTCCAATTTCTGAAATTTGTTTGCTCTTTTTGTAAGTTTTAACTTATTTAGTCCTTTTAAAAAAAATAATTCTGAAAAAAAAGAAAGAAACTGAATGGAGTTTCGTGAAAATATTGTATAATCATTAATAAATACTGTTTTTTTTTATTGAACTACATTAATTATTTCACTTACCTTAATGATTAACCTATATTGAGCTGTGTTGGTTGCTTTGATGTTCAAGCTGCAATTATTGTTTCATTAGATTATTAATCCTTATTTACTTGGTGATTAAGCATTAAGATGCATTAATTGATTCACTTATCTCGATGATTAAGCTGCCTTACCTACTATTGAGAAACTGATATTGTAATCAGGAAAACATTTTCATAAAAACATACTTCCTGGTTTGAGCTTAAACCTTTATTTAATGTGTCAGTTTACGTGTAAAAGAATTTAACCTTGACAAAAAAGGGGTGCTATTTAATTTCACTAAAAAGTTCAGAACAGAAACTGGAAAAAATTCTTTTAGATGAGCCGTAATGACCAGAAAAGAAATATATTTATAAGATATTTTGTTTAATGATTTCATGGTGAATCATTCTTGCATCCCTGATTCCCGTAGTGCCTTTTTCACGCCATTATTAAACATAATCTTTTAATTATTTGTTTTATATGCGATATATTTTTGTTTTAATATCAGCGCTGGACTAAATAAGGAATCAAGCAAAATATATTTCTCGAAATGTTTTGAGGGGGGTTTGAGATTTTCTTTTAAGAATTTTCTTTTTCCATTTACCTTTTGATTATATATTTTGGTACCGCCTAAAAATATGGGCATTCCAATACGTTTCTCGAAAGCATTTAAGAAGTTGCAGCTTAGTTATCTGATATTTACACAACTATATGCGTTTTTTATGATACTTTTTAAAAGAAATAGCTTCATGTAAAGGTGAATGAAATGCATTTTTTAATCTTAAAATTAATAACTATTACTAAATGTATTTTAAGTTAAGATTTGCAAATACATACTTACGATAGAAATGAGTGAAAAAGCAATAGCAACCAATGGTGGTTGTGCAGCAACTATTATGATCAGTGCTTGTGTAGTTGTAAATAAATGATAATGATAATAAAATATTACTTTGCTTTTAGTAATATTCAAAGTTGAACAACATATTTTAATTTTTATGTACTTTTTTGTGAGTTCATCTTTGTGTGAAATTTGCTTCGTTTAAAATTTGCTTATAATCTAAAGTTGTTTTAATTGTTACATGAAAATAAAAGAAGTTTATTTTGATACGAAATTAGTTCGTGTCATTTTATTTTTGATATACTGAAATGAAAGACATAAAATGGGTTTAGAATTGCGTGTCAAGATCATTCAGTTATGAAGAGTGCTTTGTAAAATAATAAAAACATTTGAAAATGCACTACTTTATTATAATTTCATTTAAAAGACAAAATGATAAATGAATAAATAAAAGTTCCAAAATAAAAAGTAGAGATAATATAAGAGCAAGGCGATGAAAACATTACGATCGCTCCACGAAAGTTCTTCAGCTCTCTGAAACAACGGTTGTAAGTGAACAATTTGGCTATTTGATAACTGATACAAATTTGTGACAGTTATTCAGGTTAATTTATTTATAACAGTTAACATTTTGTAGCAGTTATTATACCTATATGCTATGCGTGTAATTTTTCAATAGCAAGAAAAGCCGCAGTCTTGTAAAAATTTTAAAAAAAATGTGTTTGAATTTTTTGATACATGTAAAGTTACGTTGCGGTGGCAAAATTTCGGAAATCAATGTTAAAAAAGGATTAAAATTATTTTTGAATATTTAAACTATTTCATTGTCATTATGTAAAGACAAAAAATCCAGATCATTTTCTTGAAAGAAAAAAAAAGCATTCAGTTAGTTTGAATTTTTATGTTTTAATCCCAAAACATAAAATCTGCATTTTTTTTTTCTTCTTGTAAACAAGTTTTGAAAAGCACACATAGTAACTTGCAAAGAAGCGTATTACACTTTTAAACGTTTTTTTTTTTTTTTTAAATATATATAGATATCACCTTCCTAGATATCACCTTCCTTTTTTAATAAATATAGGCATCACCTTCCTTTTTTAATAAATATAGATATCACCTTCCTTTTTTAATAAATATAGGCATCACCTTTTTTCAATAAATATAGATATCACCTTCCTTTTTTAATAAATATAGGCATAACCTTCCTTTTTTAATAAATATAGATATCACCTTCCTTTTTCAAATAAATATAGGCATCACCTTTTTTTAATAAATATAGATATCACCTTCCTTTTTTAATAAATATAGATATCACCTTGTTTCTAATAAAAATAGATTTACCTTTTTTAATTAATATAGATATCGGAAAAATATTAGAAGGTGCTATTGGCGATAAAGAGAAGTCAAAAGCATTCTTATGATTTTTAGTTTTTTCTCTGGGTTTTCGATAGAAAAGAATTAAATCACTTCTTTTCATTTATAAATTTTGTACGTCCAGAACTCTTTTTTGTTCAATTTCATTTTATATTTTATAACTTTTTAACTTATTTCAGTTCTAAGATTGTTTATAAGGCCTGAATTTCTAAATATGTATACTACCTTTACATCAATGTCATAGAAACTACTTATTTCAAAAGCTCTCTATTTTCAATTCCTTTTTCATACCGAGAAGAGTCCCGTTCTCTGGCCATACAGATAAGGAAAAGAGAAGGCTAATATTTATTATACCTCTCTCGAGACAATCCATGAAAGAAAACTAATTAAAAAAAAAGGTTCGTAAATTTTAAAATGTGACTTGAAGTTTAAAAAAAAACCTACAGTATTTTTAATTGTTATTATAAAGTATATGAAAGGTGACATTTTAACAAAAAACAACATTATTTAACATTAAATCTAAACAATTTTTATGCAATTTATGGTTTAATTAAAAGAATAAAAAAAATAAAAGTTTTATTATTTTTTAAAAATTTATTTAGAAAACTCATAGTCCCAAAAAAAATATTAAAAAATAAAAATCTTTAAAAAATGTTCTCAAAAATTAATGTTAATAAACATTTAATGAGTGATGTAGATTTGAGTTTCCTGCTATTTCCTTAAATATATATTGAAACAAATACGCATAAAAATGATTAATTTTATATAATAAATAGCTAAGTTAAGCTATCAAATATACCATTTTTATTCATAAAATTTTACAAAAAATATGCCACAAAAAAGAGTGTAAATGGTATTAATAGATGGCAGCACTAAAATTTGCAAAAACTTTTCTGATCCGGATAATCACAAATACGCAAGGTAATTCACAAATACACAAGGAACTTACCCTGCAGGTGACATCAACACTGTAGGTCAGTGTTTCCCAAACTTATGACTTTTGTGTACCCTTTCTAAATTTTTCGTAACGCTATGTACCACTAATTAAAAAATGAATGTATTTTTTACTATAAAAAAATTGCACAAAAGTTAAAATTCACAACTGACTGTTGACACCACTAATTATTAACTGTCAACTCTGTAAAAAATAGCCAATAGAAAAATGGGTAATCGTAATTTTTCATGGCTAGCTTTGTTTTTAAAAAATAATTTTTGAAACTTTCTCTTGTTGTAAGATATTTCGCATAAGAACGCGTACCCCCACTAAACTGTTCCCGTACTCCTGGGGGTACGCGTACCACATTTTGGGAAACACTGCTCTAGATCAGGGATTCCCAACTGGCGGCCCGGGGTACGCATACGGCCTTCGAAGCCTTTTTTTTGTGGCCCTCGAACTAAAATATATTAGTTGTCATTTTTTGCGGTTAATTTTCGTAAAAAAACTATATGGGTTTAAAATACTTTTCTCCTTAATAAAAGCCTAATTTCTTCGTTTCTGTGAAATTTAACATACCAACGGTGCAAAAAAAATTTTATTTCTCAGCTTTTGCATCCAAGGAAATATTTATTCAAATACAAAAATAAGTTTTAGTTAAGTTACAAAATAATTTTGCTCTTTTTTATTTCATTTTTTTGTATTTTGTGAATACAATTTAGCGTGTGCGTATCAGAAATTTTCTCGAAAAAATTCTCCGATTTAACGTTTTAAAACCACTCATTTCGGACGAAAATATTTACACACACAATTGTAAATTTTAAATGTAAATATCTATTCTCTGGTGGTTGCAGCAGACAAACCTCAATTTTCTCATTGAACATTTTGTGTGCTACTATGTAAGTTGTAATACCAACCTTTTTAAAGTTTTATATCTTAACAACTAGATATGTGTTGCACATTAATTGTTTAATACATTAAAGTTATTGTAGCCCAATTTTTATTATTTATTTAATATTTTTAAAAATATCATTAATAACAATGAAGCTTGGTTTGCGAAGGATTAACCTCAATCATCCTGAACATTTGTTTTATATCTGCTGTAAATGCATAAGCGTGTTTTCTAAATCTAATTAGGATCAAGAAGAGATCTTCTTGAAGTAGTCCTCCCTTGCACAGTAAATCATTTAAAGAATGTCCACTGGAAGTTTTCGAACTCGCGTTGAAAACTACACGAAGTTTAGTAGTTTTGTTTGATGGGCGTAAGACACCGTGATGTGGTGGATAGTATCCGGTTTCGACATCTGAATTTTCCTTCACCTCCATATGTTGTAATAATTCATATTCGCTGAGGAAATCCGAATAAACCGTTTGCATGGCGGGGTCGCTTTCTAAGCGCGTCCATAAGTCTCTTTGATGCGACTGTCTTAGAATTTCCTAACATTTCTTCGGAAAAATCAGGTTTGAATGACATTTCCACAACGTATCTACCATCCAGTTTTCTATAATGCGAATTCGCGAAATGTTCGTTACAATACTTTAATTCATCGCTGCAAGTTTCGTTTGTTTCGATTTCTTCAATTTCCCAAAAGCGTTTGAGAGTATTATTAAGAGTGTCTAAGTTTTTAGTTAAAAAACAATGTTTAGAAGTGTTATAAAAATTATTGTCTGAAATAACACCTGAAACAAGATAGCCGAAACCAAGAATAAGTTGTCTGCCAGTTTTATTTTATCGTCATTCAATAATGAAAAGAACAATTCTGCGCCTAATAGAATGTCTATTTTTTGAGGAATAAAAAATGATGGATCAGCTAATTTAACTTCCCTGGGAATGTTTAAATTTGAAACATTTAATTTTTTAGAAGGTGTGAAATTTGTTATATTAGGAACAATTAATAAATCTATTTCCCAATGCGAATCCTTATTTTCATTCAATAAAAAAGCAGATACTTTTTTCTTTATATTTAATGATGTATCATTCAAACCGCAAATAGGAATGTTTATTTTTTCAAACCCAAAAAGTCTGCAGCGGAGGAGGAGCGGAAAGAACCAAAAGAACTCTCGCTATGTTTCTCGCTGAGTCAAGGACACCTCGTAAGGGTTCTCCCCAAGCGTCTCCGACAGATATTATTGCTGTGTTTATCAAAATGCTCTTATTTCCGTTACAGAAAGACGAGGGTTTTCTGCATATTAATTGATTCTGAATTGTTAATTTCTTTCTCGAGAGAGAGTCTGGTTTCACTTTGAATGTTATGACTAGTTGTCATGATTGACGGCAGGGCCGGATTTAAGCTCGGTGGGGCCCTAAGCTACTGAAAATGATGGGGCCCTTATAAGTTCAATTCCATTTCTGCACACCTAAAGTAAACTGTCATTATTTTTTATTGTTGAGTGTTAACATAATATTATTAAAAAATTTGATAATATTACTTGATTGTTAAATATATTAATTGTGATGAGACTATAATGTAGAACCTTTCTTTTATTGCACATATTTTTTGAACGAGGAAAAAAAGTTACAACAGAAACACATTTTAAGCACAGAGTAAAAATTTGGCGTGCTGGAAGGGTCACTATATATTTAACAGAGTTTTTTTTTTAAAATTCATTTTGAATATATTTTATTTGCAATTTTTTAAGGTTTTTCGCGAATTTTTTTTCAATTGTTTTTTCTTTACGTTACATTTTGCTTTGCTGCTCAAAATCTTGGAAGTAAGACATTTTGAATCTGTGAAGAAAATATGCAAAGAGTTAGAAATAATACAAGAAAATACAATTTGATTATTAGTTTTATTTTTTTAATAACCGCCTTTAAACAACCGACTCAATTTTGAGTTTACGACTACCGTAGCCTTGTAATTTTGAACCCAATCCATAAGACAAGGGAACTGCTGGATCAGTACCCAGAAGTATTTATCTATTATGAGAACTTGGAGGACTTTGTGACCCCGACAGATTTAA